TATATCCCTCCCTTCATTTCACAGATAAACGTTCGTAATTGAGCATTAACATAAAATAATAAGAGCAGAAGCAAGAATTGTTTGCTTGTAGTTAAGTACAAAGCTGCAAAATGGACTATCTGTTCTATGTCCACCACGAGTATCGAAACCAGGTTTCTAGCGTTGTAAGTCTGCAGACATGCAACGGTGCCATTGGGGGGTCTACAAGCAAGGAACTGCCCACCGAAGGACTTTAATCGAACAAAATAATCTCAAATAGCTCACATTAGAGTTGAACAAATATTTGTGCAAAAATAGTGACTAATATAAGAGGTCGCTTACGAAATGTCATAATTCCCAATATGGCAGCCATTAACTTATATGAATTTATATTTTCTACGTTAATTACTTCTCAAAGAGCTACTGCATAAATGTTATATACTTATTAACAAATCCGATAATACATTTCAGTGCCAGATCATATTTTGATAGATGGACCCATTTAATTTAGCATATTATATTATAGAGGCTAATGTAACAGAATGGGCAGGTGTCATATAATGTAATCAGCATAGGAACGAAACCCCCTATTACCATTTAGTCATCTGCATCATATTTCTTAATAAAATCCCAAAATTCTGTTCAAACACACCAAGTACGTAATGTTCGTGTGGTGTTGGAAGGATTAGAAACGTGTGCTTGTGACTCGATAAACCTAGCACCCGCAATCTGATTTCTGCAATATCTAGAGATTCCAGAGCTTAGTATTCAGAATGATAGCTGTAGTGTTTTGTTGTAGATGGAATGAAAGAGGTAAGACTCTGTGATTTTAGTTTGTTTGTTGTTAAACATAAGTTACACACTTGGATATGTGTGCTCTGTAGACTGACAGAACAAGATGTGGGGTGAAGCCTGCCATTTACAAATCGGTTTGGTTGCGAGCTATTTTAAAATCCATAAATACATTTCAGTATGGCCAGGTGGTTACGGCACTCGACTCGCAATCTGAGGGTCGCGGGTTCGAATCCCCGTCACATGCTCGCCCTTTCAGCCGTGGGGGCGTTATAATGTGACGATCAATCCCACTATTCGTTGGTAAAAGAGTAGCACAAGAGTTGTCGGTGGGTGGTGATGACTAGCTGCCTTCCCTCTAGTCTTACACTACTAAACTAGAGACAGCTAGCGCAGATAGCCCTCGTGTAGCTTTGCGCGAAATTCAAAAAACAAACAAACATACATTTCAGTAAACTCAAAACTAGAGCTTGTATGTTTTATATAAATATATATAACAGTTCTTGGATATATTTTATAAAAACGAAAAACAGTAAGTAAAACTTTTTTTTTTTCTTTGAAGGGCGCTCAAGGGTGTTGACAGATGGTTTTTATATATGATCAGTATGATTAATTCAATATGTAAATCAAGGGAATGATTATAAACGTTGTTCGTTGTGATTGTACAGGGTTGGATAGGTTATATTGAAATTATTATAAATATGCAAATCACAACTACAACCAATATAAAATACTGGTGGAACGGAATTTATCAAACTGCATTTATATTACAACTTAGTGGTTATTCGCTCATTAGTTTGGCGTTACACAGGTAGTGTGATGCCATCAAAAATTGATCAACAACCCAAAATAATCATATAGATGTATTGAGATCAGGGATTTAGAATCTACAAGACAGGAACATCTCTTGCGCTTACTAGCATTGGAAAACAAAGGTATATGAATCAATCTGAGAAACCAGGGTCATCAAGAAATAGAACTACAACAGCTGATGCTCCAGGCATGGTAAGCAAACTGCGGTTTCTTAAAACAGACGAGAATCCACGAAAATAGAATCTTCATCGGGAAAAATGACACAAGTTGCTTCAACAAAATATCCGTTAAACCGTTGCATACCTCAAACAATTGAAGAATGAAACAGGTATTCATGCTATTCCATAAGAAGACATAAATACAGTGCCTTTGTATTTCTGTTTGATCTGTTGAAACCGTTGTTCTCGTACACTAGATGGCTTATGAAAGTCTTGCGATGAAAAAGTAGTGTGCTTTGGACACGACATCATTACGACGAAGAAAGACTGGATGTGATGACATGGACTGTAACAACGTTGGGAAGCCCCAAATCTTTTCAATTTAAAGTATTCAAGCTCTGTAACTACAGTGTTTTCATAATAATAAGATATTTTTTTATTGGAAAGACATTAATTAGGGGAAAAAATCTTTAAAACCATATCATTTTGCTCCAAATAATTATTCGCGTTAGGAGAAAGGTCGGGAAATACAAGAGATTCGGTTACGTATCAAGTGAGAAGTGTTTTAAAAAAGTTATTAAAACTGAAGCGCAACAAGTCATGCTTTCATGGATGGATAAACTAAATCATTATTTTATAAATAAAGTAACGCAGAATAAAGTTCAATTTGCTGAAGTAGGATTAATGGCTAGGATTATAATAAACGAACAAAATTACCCTCGTTCGGAAAACGTTTGTTACTAATACTTCACCTCCATGAAGGCTTTACAAATTGTATGCCAGTTAACAAAACATATTCATTTGTTGTGCTTGTTGTTGCCCCTAACCATTGAAATATGCAAGTCATTACAAGTAGTACACGTCGTAAAGTGTTACCCAATAGAGAAATTCGTTTCATTCGATAGTTGAGAAATATCTAGTTTTATTTCTCACTCCGATTATATGTTGATTATCGAGTGAATAAGAAATATTTTGAAGAAAAATATGGAATTTTACCTAAGTGTGAATGTGATTTTAAGACCAAAGTACATAAATTAACAAATACCCGGCTTGGTATTTTGGTCACAACTAACTGTTAATATATTTCATTCATATTAGTATTTACAGTATTAATGTTACACAAGTTTTGAGTGGTCACAAACGAAGAAAAGTCTTCATTTTCTTAACTATGTGACTCTTGATCTCGCTGGTAAAACGTGTTTTGTTTTTCTCCGTTCAAGAACATTCAACATGTGAAAATCTTCTGTCGAATTACACATTCCAAAAGATATGCATGATCATTAATGTTATTACATTGTGGTTTATTACTGTCTTAGAAATGATTACAAGCCTCTGTCGAGTTAGGAAAAACACTTATACATCAAAATTAATATCATTATATATATCAACAGAAGTTATAACACGACTCTTTAGTTGTCAGCTGTTTTATAAAGCTGAGTTACTGGTGTAGTTGAATGACATAGGAAAACAAGCTGTAGTAATATAAGGTGACCACCATCAGTGAGCTCTCTGTACTAATCAATTATCATCATTCGCACAGTAGTTAAAAACCTGCTCCTCATCAAGCCTAATCACCACAGGTTATGAGAAGATGCGGGTTTACCGCCATATCCCACCTACCATTTCTCAACAATAGAATGCCACTGTGACAAACGGGAAGGGCACGGTAATAGAGTTACGATGGTGAAATTTAATAGTTGTGAAAGCAGCGCTTCTAGTTTTTGCTAACGGAATCCACAGCTGTGATTCCTTATGTAGCACGGAAAATATTTCATTGGTAGGTTTTAATGTTCGCCCTACAACTATTAGAGCCAACCTCTAAATTACAATTAAACAAATATCTTCACATATATTTGTTTGTTTTTGAATTTCGCGCCAAGCTACACCAGGGCTATCTGCGCTAGCCGTCCCTAATTTAGCAGTGTAAGACTTGAGGGAAGGCAGCTAGTCATCACCACCCACCGCCAACTCTTGGGCTACTCTTTTACCAACGAATAGTGGGATTGACCGTCACATTATAACGCCCCCACGGCTGAAAGGGCGAGCATGTTTGGTGTGACTTGGATTCTTCACATATATCGAACAATATTTGTAAACACTCCTAACATTATTTTCGTATCTTCGATTTAAATAGTGTATGAACTTCACCCACCTATAATTTTTTTGCCCCCCCCCCAGTGTCACAGCGGTATGTCTGCGGACTTAAAACGCTAGAAACCGGGTTTCGATACCCGTGGTGGGCAGAGCACAGATAGCCCATAGTGTAGCTTTGTGTATAACTTAAAACAAAAAAAACTTTCTTTTTTCGAGAGGGGGAACGCCCCCAAAGCGAATAATCTTCTACCACAGCAGAGGCTTTACGTTTGCGGATTTTGGTTTGCAGACTAGCGTCTAAAGTCTGCGATATTTTATCACTATTGTCGGTATATTGTAACCTCTTGACATAAAACTAATATGCAACATCAAAAGGAAAGGTTATTGAATTGACAGAACAAACGAATGTGTGGAACATCGAAGTATGTTAATCACGAACGATAAATAGTTAAGTCCCACCAATAATGCATTTATTTACTGTTGTAATGTTTTACAGCTCCGAATAACATACTTATCACCAACATTATTTTTATTGCTAAATATATACCGAGCATAAAACATTTGCACATTTTTATGCCGAGATTATCGTTTCATATCTTTAGTCCAACAGTATTTTTTTTTCTTCTTGGCAGAAGTTTTTGCTTTGTTATAAAAAATCAATTAGTACATTTTCAAACTTAAATCATTTTCTGTGTTTCGACTTTCTGCTTTTGGCAACTTGAGTGGCTATCGCAGTTCTGAAACTTCAACTAATCATAGGGTTCAGAATCAGTTTAAATAATCATGCTACGCCCACTTTTTCTAGTTACAAAGCTAGATGTAAAAAAAATCGATCAGGATGAGTAACACAGAGCTCCGAGAACGAGGGTTTATGTTTGAGATACTTAGTTCCACAACATATGGTAACAATACGTTGAATTGGTGATTCAAACCATACTAACAAGCACGTAGTAACGTATTTATATATAAAAAAAATAATATTAAGATGTTTCATATCATTACCTAGGAAACAGTTGTTATATAAAACTTATTTTATTGTTACAATAAACTAAATCAAAATAATATGAAATTTACTGAGGTACCAAAACTGGCTTTTTTGGCGCAACTTTACTTAAATGTCATGATTCCACCATTTGATAAATACTACACTGTAAACAGGATTAGTTTTTGAAACCTTTAATAAAACACTTTATTTTTTTACATTCATATTCCCCTTTTCTGGTGCTGTGTAACACTAAAATTCAAAATACAAATGCACAAAAGTTCGTGTAAGTACAAGAATTTCAAAATGTAATTACAGATAAAAGGAATTGCTTACATATAATTACATAAAATCAGAGTAATACTACATGACAAATTTTACAAGAAATGTGTTGATAATGTAAACCATTAAATCATTCTATTAAAGGTAATAATAATACTGTACAGTCAGTGTGGTTATGGCACTAAACCTAAAAATATCAAAAACTACCGGAACCCTTGCTATTAGCCCTAAAACATATAACTTTAAAAAATTCAAATTTCAAAGTTAGCATCAATCTCTTAATTTCATAGAATAAAAAAAAAACATTCTTTAGTGTAATATAGTTCAGTTGAAAATACACTTTACACATACATTCCTATAATACAAAACAAAAAATGGAAATAATCTCTTTCATTTGTATTTAAAAGAAGTAAGATAATCATTAGAGGTAACAGCAACATTCTATCACTGTAAAAGTATTGGTATTTTCAGTTGAACAGCATGCAAGGTCAGAGGCCCTTAAGAGTTGCTGACCAGAGGGAGCACAACTAGTTGACAACAGCTGTTACTTGTGTAGCATTTCTTAACTGAACAGAAGGACTGACTGTCACAGTTATAATGCCTCACAGCTTAAAGTGTGAAGAATGTTCTGGAGCATATCATGTCTCACACCCAGCATGTTAACCACTGCCCACACCCCTTCCATTATTACTATGTAAATATCTAACTAAATTCATGAACAAAAAGGTAAGAGTAAACAATTAAATGATGTGTAAAATATGCATTAAAAGTAAACTAATTACAAAAAGTCTTACAGAACTCTTAACATACGAGTTGTAAGTTCAACATGAAAAAAAGAAAACATTTGTATAATGATCAGAATTTTGTACTCACGTAACATTTTTTAAAACTGTAATACAGCACAGTTCCAATGTAATTTTCTTAACTTTCTACATTGTATAAATGAATTATCTCTTAGACATCAGTGCCCTAATTATGTTTAAAGTAAGAGTACTAAATAATGAATAATTTTATTCAAGCTCTACATTTATCTTTAATAACTTATTTGATAACTTGTGGTTTAATTATAATTACCATCTTGCATGAATGCAGAAGATCCAGCTTTTTCATTTCTTTATTTTAGAGGCTAAATAATTTCTCCTCAAGAAAGTGAAAATCATTAATAAGACTTTTTCATTACCTCTATACTTGCATGTATTGTCATATTTATCCAAGTTTTTGAAGCTTGTATAGCTACATACAGCTCAGGATTTTAAATTGCATATGCTTTAATGTATGTTTTAACATTTTTATGGTGCACAAGAAAACCAACACATACTTATATACGTATATTGTTTTGTTTTATAGTTTAAAAAGAGGTTGATTTTATTACTCTGTTTCTTTTTTAATTATTTACATTATCCACAAGTTTCTAATGCAGAAAATGTTTGAAACTGTATATTATCTAAGTTTTGATGGTGTATAAAGTTTATTCATTTACTTGAAAGCATATGGGATTTCTTTAAACACTACCATGATGTTTAAGACATAAATTATTATATTTAAAAGCTCAAGAGCACTTAAGCTATAAGACTGGTTTGTTTTTCAACCTTGCACAAAGCTACTCAAACACTATATATGCATAAACCATCTCTAATTTTGAAGTGATAGACTAGAGAGAAGACAGCTAGTGTCAACACCACCCACCACCAACTTTGGCTAATGTTTTACCAACAATTAGTGTGATTGACTTTCACATTATATTACCCCACACCTGAAAGGGTGAGCATGTTTGGTGTTTGAATTCGAACCAGCAACCTATAGCTTGCGAGTTGAGTGCCTTAACCACCAGGACATGCCAGGCCCTATAAGACTTGTACATTTGTGTGTAAAAGGTAAAAATGGTTACTGAAATACTTTCAATACTGATGAGAGACTGATTAGTTTTTATATAAATACTTCTGGAAGCAAACAACTGCTATTCTATCTCATTTTATATGCATATACACACAAACAAATGGTGCAAAAGTAGTGGCACTTCAGACATTTTGAAAACTGTTTGTAGAGCTAATACAAGTATATTCAGCACCACATTGCACCTGGAGGTAGAAACATAGTTTTTACACTGTCTTGATAATAATACACAGAAATAATTTGGATTATGCATATTTTAGAATATTAGAAAAATAATATTACAGCAAAAAAAGGTAAACTGACACAGAATTAAAGCAAGAAAAAGTAAAAAAAAAAAAACATTTTTCTCCCCCCCCCCCTTATGCAAATGATATTTACTAAATAACAGAGAATTAAAGCAAGAAAAACGAATTTTTTTTTTGCTGCATTCATGCTCATGACACATAAACCAACACTGTAAGTCATGAAAGAAACATAGTACTGGTTTTAATATTGTATGAGTAGATGCATGACAAAATATTAATAGTTTTTACATGTTTCTATTGTTCCTTCGTTGTCATATTAATAAGCACAAGACAAATAGGTACATTATTTGTAAACAAATTTCCAACACTTTCTTAAAGCAGTTTTAATATAGATATTGAAGCTATACTAATGTATATAGTCACTACTTTGTTTTCAGTTTAAAATTCATGTATGCAGTATTTTAATTCAGTCATTCACTTTGAACATTAGGTGTTTTCTTCCATTATAACACTTCACAATTCCTGCACATAAGTCGATGAGTTATCTTCCTATTTGAAAACACTTTATTCACAGCCACCACTAAATGAAATCTTGAATAGAGAAGTCTACAGAAGTTATGACAATGTTCATAGCTTTCAATGAGTACAATACATCTATGAAATTTTTACTTAATGAATTTTCAATAATATTCATTTTGTTTTCTGAATATTATCCAGACAACTTAGCTTAGCATTAGTATGATAAACTTAAAAATGAAATGAAAGCATTTTCTTTCACTTGGGATAACCTATTCACTGGTAATTTCAAGATTTGAACACTAACACCACCCTTGATGAATTAGAAATTCCTTAGCCCTGTGGATATAACATGAATATATTTTGGGGTTACAATTCCATCACACTGTTTCGCTTTATCAGGACATTAATGCCTTTCATATCATTTGAATTTTTGCTAGAGATGAAAACACATCGAAGTATTTACATACAATCATAGAGATTACATATAACACACATTTATATTACTTTCACAAAGACACAGTTCTGTTGCAATGGTAATTCTGTTAGTACCATCCTTAGATTAGGATTATGGTGTTAAAATGATTTTTCTCACGGTAACAAATCATCAGTATTGTAACATTATCAGAATGGATCTGTTCGACGCCTTTTCTTTTGTTCTTTACCAAGTAGATAACATTGCTTTTACAGGTCTAAATGGATTTTTGGATCTGACATGGCTATTTTCATCAGGGATTTCTTCACTCTCAAAGCCGTCAAACGGGCTGATGGGTTCTGATGCCAACACTCCTTCATCAGTTTTGAAATTGCTGACAAAATCTGTAAAAGAGCTAAGTAGTTAGAATCATCCAACAAATAAACTTGCTAGAGTTAACATTGAAAAAATTTTTTGAAACCTTAAATGTGCAATGTTTTCAAGGGTGGCCAGACAGTTCGCTATTGAACATTTCGTTCCCAGTCTTTTTGTTACTAGGGTATTTTGCTACCTGATAATTGTACGTCATAATTTTCCTTAAATATCTTATTTAAGATCATAAAAAAAAATATTTTGTCAATATTAATTCATTACACAAATACTCCAATCAGTATACTATTAGTAAATATTTCTTCAATATTAGTTTATAAGAGAAACACTTTTTCAAAATAAAAAAGGATCCTATGTTGCAAAACATTTTACTTAAATATAATTTAAGATCTGAACTTTTTAAAAATGATTTAGGCTTTCCTCGATTAGTTGTCCAACCATAATGAGTTATTTATACGTAGCTGGAACAAGTAGCAAAATGATCTGGTAGCAAAATCCCCAAGTAACGAAAAGACTGGTAGCGAAATGTTCAGTAGCACTGTCCTAGAACCGTTTAAGATATGCCCAAGCCTGTCTTATATAAAATATTTCTGACACTCTACATAAAACACCAGTATATAATTATACAATGTATATAATTTGACAAAAATTATAATATCATTTCAGTGTGTGTGTGTGTGTGTGTGTGTGGATGATTTATTATTAAAGCAATACAGAAAAAATAATCTTTTG